TAATTACATTTGCAAAAATTCAATTTGACTAAATGTTTAAAATTAACACTAAACATAAATCAAACAATGCATTCATGACAAACTGGTTTGGAAGATTGATACTTTAAAATAAATTTAAATTAATTTAATTACTCTACTTAGTTGATAATCACACATTACTACTTAGCTAAATAAATTATATTGGAAAATATAAATTAAATTATTTTTATTTTATTTCAATTAGAAAGCCTTGTTTTACTACTCCAGCCCCACAATGCCACCGTTGCGAAGCCAAAAGTATTGGTTCAACCATCTCTTCCATTGCATAATACTCTCAAAAGTATGCTGTAGTCACTTGCAGTCAAGATAAACCAGTTTTTTCTTCTTGAAAAACGATAGCAAGTCTAGCCGTAAGGTGTTGAAGAGGATATTTGATTATGCCTCAAAGGGTTCGTTCGTCAAAGCTTGGCTGCACCTTCAATCTCCGAAACTGGGATTGACATTCACGACTAAAGTGGTTCTCTGGGAAATCTGCGATGAGAAACATATCACCACATCACACCTCTCTTTTCCATTTCTACAAGGAAAGCCAGACGAGCTGCAAAATGCTTTGTTGTTTTCAGGAAATCCCATGCAACTTTTGATCAGACTCTCGTTTGGACACCAAATGGATGTTGTGGGACGGACAGACGAGTGGAGAAATTGTATGTGTGCCTTGAAAGAAAGCCTATTTGGCAAGGCTTTGTGCATTGGTACCAGCCGAAACTGAAGAACGATTACTTCTTCGGTGGGCACAATTCAATACTCTGTCACCCGGTTTTGGGGGTTTCCGGTGCGGCCGATTCACGAATCCCTTCTAATTGGCGTTCCCTTCGAAAGAAAAAATAGAGTCATGTCAACGACTCAAAAGGATCTTTGGAACCCAGCTGTCCACGGTCTGAGTCCCGCCAGGGGCGCAGATGAAACGATGAGGCGAGCTGCAAACCGTCGGATGGGAAAAGTCTGCCAAACGCAAAAGCCGGTCTGCCCTTCGAGTAGCCGCGGATTGGCCGATTGCCGGTGCCCTGAATGACACTCGACCAATGACGACCCTCATACGGAAATTTATTCTATTCGAGGTTGACATATGACCGCAACAAACCAAATTACTTTGTACCTGACCAAAGAGTCCAGATGTAGAGTATATAAACCGCTTTTTAGGGATTTGCTGGTGAGTTTTCTTGACTCGATAGCTTGAATTTGGTTGTGACGATGTCATATGACGCACGAAAGCTTAGCAACTTTTCACCAGAATCGAAGCAGATTGCCTCGGAAACAGCGTCAGCATGAATGTTCCCGTAAAAGCAATCGACAGCTGGTCAAGAGGAATCCGCCATCGTCTTCTGGTGGAAGCGACCTTTAAATGTTTTCACCAAACAGGTTTACTCGAAATGGAATTAAACTCAACAATTGTGAAACAGTAGATTCCTCGAAACCCAACTTTGCTTCGCATGATTTCATTCTATCTGGCAAGTCTTGAAAGTGTCCCACAAACGAGTGACCCAGTGAACGTTGACGACAGAGCAAGCCGTCAGTGGGCATAATGGATCCACGACAGCGTTGCCCAGGTCTATTGTAATATGAGTTTCGGTTTCGAAAGAAAATTTGGGTGGAACGAATTCATGAATTTTTGGCTCCGGAAAGTGAAGGAGAAGAGACCTTGGAGGAATGAAGACCATTTGACTGCCCCGCATTTTTTCTTAAAGTACGGTTTTCTGCTCTCACGATGTCTGCCACGATGGTACAGACGAAAGCTTATCACAAGTTCATCGAGCTCGACGAATGGTGAGCCGAGGACTTCTTTGCCAAATCTACCGACTTTCACTCCACGGCCGTCCGATGTGACCAATTCACGAAATCATTCCAGTCAACATTTTCTTCAAAAATGTTCATTTCGCCACAAATAATAAGGAATTGTTTGAAACCAGCTTTTCCATTCTATAATATTCTGCCCAGGTTTGCCTGAGCCGGGCCGTATAGGAGCTGTTCTGCGAGTCGTGACTTG